TGCCCTATTCAGGTCCGTGAAGTCAACGCACATCCTCCAGTTACCATTTGCCTTCTGAACCATTACAACATTGGCCAGCCACTCCGGATACTGACAGGGTTCAATGAACCCAGCATCTAGGAGCTTATCGACCTCAGCTGCGATGTTCTGGTTCTTTTCGGCGGAGTAGTTCCGCTTTTTCTGCTTAATGGGTCGACTGGAGGGGTCGACATTAAGCCTATGGGAGACGAAGTCTGGATCAATCCCGGGCATTTCTGCGGCTGAGAAGGCGAACACGTCTCCACTGGCCCGTAGGAGTTGGACGAGTGCCGCACGGGTGTTTGGCTCCAGTGACGACCCGATGCTAACACATCTGTTCGGATCTCCTACGGTCAGTTCTATTGACTCGGTCAGGTCATCCGTCTCCATGCTCTTAGAGTTGGATTCCTCGAATTCCGGCCTGCTATCAATATTAGCAGACTTTCCTGACCGCGGCTGGCCATCAGAGTCGTTCGGCTCTGAGGCGGAGTCAGCCTTTTGGCCCCCATCAGATTTCTCGTTGTCTGGGGCTTCATTAGCCGAAACGTCTGAGCCTCTCGGCTTTTTGGCGTTTCGGTCCCGGTGCTTTTCCTCCCCATCGCCACGGTCGCCTCGGCGAGACGTGGATGGCTTGAGGTGATTGCATCGGCGGGCTTCTTTTTGACTGCCCTTTATTTTCTCGGAGCGTCCCTCGTCTGAAACGTATATCATGATTTGATGATACGTGGAGACGACTCCTTGAATGCCGTGAATGAGGGGTCTCCCCATGATCACGTTGTATGCAGATGGAGCATCTACGACCAAAAATTCGGCCATGATATTCCTAGCTGCTCGGCCTTCGCCGATGGTGACAGGAAGTGTAATCTTCCCGTCAGGATACGAGGAAGAGCCGTTGAATCCAGACACCGGGTAGGGTGCGGGGGCCAGGTGCTCGGCTCCCATCCTCAGCTGGTCGAACGCTCCTCGGAAGAGGATGTTCGCCCCGCTACCGCCGTCGACGAGGGTCCGCCAGACGTTGCGGTTGGCGATGCCCAGAATGATTACTAGTGGGTCATCGTGGGGGTATACCACCCCCTCACAGTCTTCGGCTGTGAACAGGATGTTCGGCGCCGGTGACTGGGACTGCCGAAGCTCAGCCTGATGAATCTGATGGGTTAGACCCCTCAGTTGGCGTTTGGCTGTGCCTCGCGAGATTCCCCCGGAAATAACTAGGATGTCGAGGGACTCCTTGCCCTGAGGTCCCTTATCCTTCTTCCGAGCGAAGTTGAGGTCCTGCCGAGAATCTTTTTCAGCTTTTTTCTCCTCGCGCCTGTCCGCGAGGTATTGGCTCAGGTACCCCTTGCGGACCAGATCCTCAATCTGGTCCTTCAGCTGGACGCAGTCCTCGGTGCGATGTCCGGGTGAGTCATGGAACTCGCACCACTGGTCCTTTCCCCTCGTCTGATGCCAGGGAGGCAATGGACGAGGTTTTTTGAATCTCCCCTCGTCCTTCGTCGTGCTGAAAATCTTAGCACGGGGAAGGGAGAGTGGAGTGTATGAATCGTACCTTCCCGTGTAGGGAAAGTGTCTTTCCTTCTTCGGCTCGGCAGCAGAGGACGGTTCTGAGGCCTTAGCCTTCCCTTTCCTCTGCGCCGAGACTTCGGGCTGCTGCCCTTTCGGCTTCTCAATTCTCGGACGAGACTGAGACCTGGATCTGTTCCACTCCTCGGCTCGGATGAACCTATCCGATGCTTCCAAGGCTTCCTCCAGGGTCTGCGGGGGATGCATGACCATGAAGTCCAGGAACTTTCCAGCTTGGAGGCCGTTCCGTAGCGCGAACACGGCCAGGCCTTGATCCAGGCTTGTGATTCCGGATGACTCGTTGCTGAAGTGAGTCAGATAGTCGCGGAGGCTCTCGTCCTCCGCCTGCTGCAGACTCATTAGCTCTGCAGTGGTCTTCTCTCGGCGGTTGGCCGTAGAGAATTTGCTCTTGAACTTGTTGGAGAGGTCGTTCCAACCGGTTATGGAGCCTTCCTTGAGCCCTTTGGTGATCCAGGATTGGGCAACACCTTTGAGGGTCGTAGGAAAGTATTTACACCAGGTAGCCTCAGACCTCGGGTTCAGATACATGTGCCCCTCGTAAGAGGCAATGTGATCCTTAGGATCTGAGGTACCATCGTAAGTAATATGTGCCGGGATTTTGACCGTTGGCACATGCTCTTCCAGAATCCACTTCTGGAAGGGCGAGTTCGATGGAACCATGACCGCCTTCCCCTTGTACCCGGCCTCAGGGACCTCGCTCCCTCCTCTCTCAGAGGTGGAAGTGGTTTTCGTCCCCGGCTGAGACAAGGTTGGGTGGGGTCCGGTATCCTCTGGGAAGGTGAGGCGGCTATGCACACTCACCTCCCTCGAACCCAAGCGTTCGTGAACGCTTCGGCGGGCGAATTCCGGGTCCTTGGAGGGCCCCATGGAATTCTGAGCTTCAGAGTGGTCAGAGGGTTGAGGGTTCCTCCTCCTCTCCTTACTGGAGTTTCGGGTGTCCCCTCGCCACCTCTGGACGAGCTCTCTATGTGGTGGAACTTGTCCACCATCATCCTGACCGATCCTCCTTTTCAGGTTTCTCGGCTGGTGATCATTAGGCATCTGGATTGGAGCCCCTTGAGCTTTAAGGAACTCCATGCAGATGGCCACTGCTCTGGCCACTTCCTCGGTGGAGGGTCCGGAGGGAGGAGTCTCCCGCGGATGTGACCTGGATTGCACGCTATGGCGCGGCGGGGAGTTCCTCGCACCTGAGCCACTCGGTCTCGGGGATGGCCCCGGCTGCCGAGTGTGGTGCGAGGTGTTCTCCTCCTGGAGGCTAGGACCTCTTGAGGCTTCCCTTTCCGGAGAAATGGGGGCCTCCGATTCGGAAGAAGCTTGCTCCGGGGAGGGATAAACCGGCTGGCGTTCCCTCACCGTAATCTGGCCTCCTCCCTTCTTAGCCTTCTTGGAACTCTTTCCACTCTTAGTCATGGCGACTGCCGGAGTGTTTGATGACTGACGCGAAATTTAGTAGCGTTCCCCACAGACGGCGCCAAATTGTTTCGGATGAAAACAATCGAATCTCGGAAGATCCTTTTATCTTGAGGGAACTTGGTCTCGGTCCGAACGACGCAGGAGCCGAGGGTTTCCTGCACAACAAATACACGTAAACTAGCCTCGGGGGGGACGCCGAGGAAGGCCCCTCCGATGCTTAAGTCAGTATATTAGAGAGAGAAAGCTGTGCAAGAGTTTAGTTGCTTGAGGCTTTATTGTCTTACCAAGAATTGACCAAATTGTTGGCTTTTATACCTTGGCTAATGAAGGAGGCGGATTGGGCCCGGAAGTCAGTTGGGCTGGGCCAAGCTGATTGGGCCGTTGACTGACCTTGACATGGCTTTGAGGATGTTGATTTTTGACTTTAGCACATTTGGAGAGTTGAACCTTAACCTTGGGCTTTTAATTGGATCATTCAGTGACCAGGCCCAATTGGACTAAATTGGACCCAAACAACAATTATATTGATTTACTAATAAAGAAGATGGTCGTTATTGATTGCTTCTCTCTTTTCTCTAAAAAAACCCCTACCCTTCATAACTAAAATTTGTAATCTCCTATCGGTTTGCCTTAGTTAAAACCTTCAATTTTAATTTGTTATTTGGTCCCAACGTCAAAAGACAATCTTATGTGTTAAATAAACGGAGTAGAACATACATGTGTTATGTCATTCGCATTCTTTCTTTTGAGGTACTTTCCTCCTATCATTACAATGACTTTTTTTTGAGAAAGTTATCATTACATTGACTTAATCCCTTTTCATTGTGAGATATTTATTTGTGTTACCAATTGATAGAATCATTAGGCATTTAAGAAGTTAAGCCATCAAAAGTTGTTTATTTTTTTAAAGGTGCGAAGAAGGGAGGCAGGCAGGGAGGGACGGACGGAGGGGGGAGGAAGATAAGGGAAATCCCTCAAATGAGTCCTATAAAGTTTGATTTCTAGATACGAGCTGAGTCATGCCTATCAGCCTATCACATAGAAAAAGGAGTTGTGAAAAAACACACGAGTTAGCTAAAATAAGGGTAAAGAGTAACCAATTACATAATTAAGGGGCTTAAGATAATACACCTAGCTCAAATATTAAACAAGTAAAACTCAAATTCAATGGTAACTTTTATGTTTTGTAAGGTTTTATCTATCCTTTACCCCAAGCCTCAAATAATCAATTACTTCGTATATGGCAAAAGTTCGAGGGGGATTAGACCTTAATTTCCACCTCTTATATCTAAATCAAACCAAGCTAAACCATAGTACAATTCAAATCAGCTTGTCTCATGTTCATCCCTAATCAAGAGTTTAAACTCGATCACATCCAACCATTTTTAGAAAACCTTTTATAAATTTTAATCGTCATGGGAGTACAAACGTATACTCGTATGTAGTACTTAGGGTCTTAGGGATACAGAAGAGTACACACGAGATAAAGAAAGAAAGTTGAGAACCTGAAAACCAACATTAAAGTTGTATGAAGTTACCAAAATTTGAAGAAATGGAGGAAAGATCAAATGTACTTTTCACCTTCCATACCTCTATGGTTATAGTTATAGACACGATTATTTGTGGCCACCCCCTATAATCCTAGAGATAAGAGGCACTGCTAATTATAGAAGCTTTTATCAGTGTCCTTTTCTAGCAACAATGTTTTTGGCTCTTCCTTATTAAACAAATTTCATTACAAACTCTTATTGTACCCTTGATGAATCATAAGTGTTTATTTCACGAATTAGGATGAAAACAATAAGAGTGGAGGAGCCAGCTAAAAAGTTCTTGCAATCTTTTTTGTAAAAGACGAGAGCACAAAGACAAACAAGTCACTCCTAATTAAAGTCACTGTGTTGTGTCCTATACGGTCACCTATCATATCTTACATGAGAGAGCAGTCCGAGAGATAATTTTCTCGCAATTTTCTGTAAAAGACGGTCAAATGGGGGTACGATGGCAAAGGAGATACCTCCAATTCACATAGCTATGTCCGACAATGTCACATATATGTATGTATCAGTTACGTACAAAATCCACTTTATCTCCTACAAAATATATCACAATTCACAACTCTTTCAGACTGTGTCTTGCGCATGACCTATCCAATGATTTCACTCAGATTTTCAATTAAGCTAAATATTAGCAGTTCAGTGCATCTTTGCTAAGCTAAGAAAACAATGCTCAGTCAAGAGATCAGATTTTCTAAAGCTATACACTATAAAATAACCTGTATCATTCAAAAGAGATAAAACAAGCAGATGAGAAGGGATTACCGACACCTGAAGAGCTTCAGTGTACGCTTTATGGATAAACTGTCCACCAATGTAGGGCAAGAAGGTCAACTTCTAGTCTATTCCCTTGCAAAAAGATGCTTGGAAGAACTTATCTGCCAAAAGTTGTGTCAATCCCTGTGAGATACAAGGCCTTCAACAGTAACAGCAACAGCAACAGCCACAGGATTCGGGTCCCAAATTGATACATTGCATAATTACTAAGCCAATCATGAAGACAGATTTACATGTCTGATAGCAAAGTAACTATTTTGCAACTACATAAACATTCCATCCCGCTAACATATAATCAAACATGCAACTCGACTTACTACAGTAGTACAGTCTACAGGACTTTCACTAATTACACGCAAAGATCAATAAATTATTAAAGTTTTGCACCAAGATGCCAAGAGATCTAGTTAAGGATCAGTTTGGCTAAGAATCAAATGCATGTCATTGTTCTAATGTAAGAAAAATGAGAATAAAAAACATATGCACTATGGTCCAGCTTCTGACATCATCATCGGCACGTACAGGGTATTCTACAACTAGTCCTAATTTATTTTGGCATCTCCACAAGACCACAAGACTACAAGAGTTGATCATAGTGCAGGTGAGCTGAGCTGGGCAGGGCAGGGCTGGGCTTGTGCCAAGCCCATTAAGCAATTGGGTTAGGAAATGGTATCATCTTGATGGGCTATTTTTCCATCAATACAAAATCAGAAATTCACAAGATATTACCTAGGTCAGGCTGTTGGACGTTCATACCAAGATCCATTCTTTAAGGAAGATGAATTGGCTCGGGCCTACCGGCACACTGGCCAGTGGCCACCACCAAGCATGTGTTAGCAAAACGAATATCATTTGTAAATGCAAATGAAATCTACTGGATTCCAAATATATTTACCTAGTAATCACCTGTGGGTCACAAGCTCTAATTGTAATGTTGCTGTCATATGGCTGACCAATGTATCATGCACTCATATTATTGAATCAGACAATATAACAGTCAGTAAGATGGTGTTTGGGATGCAGCAGAACAAATAATCTACATCATATAAGATGCTTTTTACTTCCCAGGTGCCACCCATCTTTACTCTAAGTAAAATCTCAAAACGAGACAATTAGTTTGGGAATGGAATAGTATAAATCAGGAATCATTTGAACCAGTACAACCAACAGGGCGTCAGGGTTAAACAAGGACGAGGACAAGTGTAAGAAAATCTGACTAGTTCCATGCAAACCTGGTCTTTGCTACCTTCAATGAAGATAATGCAGAGACACACAAAAGATAAACCAAACTCAGGAAATGTATACTACGTATATAAGATATGCTGAACCTAAGGTGTATCACAACCAGCCTGGCCTGGTCTGGCCTAAATGGTTAGGCGTTTAGGCCATTTTTTGTGATGCAGCTTGATCGAAGTGCATTTCAGATTACTTTTGTACTAGCCTGATCCAGTGCGGCCAAATTTTCGGGCTTTGGGCCAACTCTTTTTTTTTTCTTTTTCCAGAATTATGATTTAACCTCATGCCTTAGGCAAAAATAAACAGTCCTTGTTGTAATGGTGCGGACAATGATTAACTCTGATCTAGTTCAACCATTTGCACATAATCTTGACAATCAAATGAAAGCATCATAAGACATAGGTCCAGAGAGGCTTACAGTGTAACTCAAGGGTATTAAGCAGCTCATCAACCCTTACTCTCATTACTTTCTGCAAAGAGGATATAACAGGAAAGGTTTAATATTTACCTCACTCTTTTAAAAAGTTAAAAAGAAAGCTATGAGATGAACTAACAATTGAAAATCTCACTAGTTCCATATAATTGTATAAAAAAAAAAAAAATATACATAAATATGAAAAATTAGCCGACCTAGCTAGAGGAACTAACAAGTTAGATATGGGCATAGGACGAATTTAAGGGAAAGGATATCAACCCTGTCGTAATCGAACCAGCAGCCTAATCTGTTCTGGTTATATGGCTGCAGAAGGTCCACAACGTACTAATACTCTATCATATGTCAGGATCCTGAATGTTGTTTCAGACACTTGGAATAAAATCTTATGCCAAGATTCTATGTTGTCAAAATGTAAGACAAAGTCACAAAGATCAAAACATATGACTAACAACAAGTGCATCAGTAAATAAGGAAATGAAACTAAACCATAAAAAAGGAGAGATGGAGAGTAAACAAAAAGGAAATCAAGTTATGCAACTCACCAGATTGAACAACCATATGTAATACTCTTTCTTAATGTGTTACACTTTCTTAATGTGTCGTCTTTTATGATTCCTTTTTTGGAAAATTACTACAATTTTATATTTGATCTCTCTTCTCATGGTCTCCACTCCCCACACATACCCATTACTCCTTTTTAAGATATACATCATCTCTCACATTCCATACTTTTAATAAACTATTAACTCAAGTATCTTTTCTTATAATTTTTTAATACCCCAACATCATCACTTACATTTTAATATATAAAAGTCAACCAAACTATCTAGAACTATGTGGTGGTCAAAGCGTAACACTTAAAAAAAATGTAGGGAGTAATTATGGTCAAATCATAGCACACCTAGAAAATGAAATTTAACTTGCCATATCTTATAAATCATTTTAAAAGACATTAGAAAAGATTATTAAATATACAATTATTTGTGATTTGTGGCATATAGACAAAGTACTCAGCAACATACTATAACGTCCATAATATAATACATTGGTTAAAAAAAATGAAGCAATTGCACTATGTAAACCCCAAAAAAATGTTAAAGTGAAAGAGAGTAAGGAGCATCAACAATTCAAGATATTAGACATACAATCACTAAGATAAATTTACCACCAATGGATAATGTTGAGGAGCAATGAGAAATAGATATCCAGTATACAGTGTATGAGCATACTATATTCTGGTATTCAATGCTGTTGAGGACGTTTCAATTTCAGAAGATGGGAAATGCCTGCAACTACATGTAGCCTACTGCTAGGAACACCAGTCTTAGCCAACGCCCTCCCATGCTTGTCCATGATAACAAAGCAAGGAACATACTTTATATCATAATGAAGAAGCTGCACCAACAAAAAACACAAGGATAAGAGAAGCTGATCCAGTAACTAAGGTGTTGAATTTGTGGAAACAAAACAAGCAATTTTTAGATTATACTTCTTTTACATAATGCTTAAGCAAAATGATTGTGTTTACAGATAACAGCAACAGAAGACCAGAACCAATCTATTGAGATTGGATTAAGATATTTAAGATATTAGACGTGAAGCTTCAGTGCTAGCTGTAAATTTAGATAAATCTTGTGCAATGCATAGAAAGCAAGGTATAAACTAGCAATGAAAATACTAGTATAAATACACATCACAAAGAAAGAAATAAAAGTTTGAAGGAGTTTACAAGAGCATTTTAAAAGTATACTGCATCACATTATCGCTAACGGTCAGAAATTAATTTGTATAAGCTACCCCTAAGCCAGAAAGCATAATGTTATACACTTATACCAATCAGTAACACAAGAAGTAGTGAAAAAATAAATCCTACTTTATCCATGAGATGTAATTTCACCACGTACTAAAATTTCAGCAAATTTGTGTACATCAGAGGATTATTCACAAAAAGATGGGACAAACAGCTATAAGATGGGCAAAGTTCATCATAAACCAAGAAATTTCATAAAATCAGAGCTGATCATCACAATGTAGCCAATTCCTCAAGACTTTACGGTTTATTTACTGGTTTTCAATAAAATAAAAAAAATAAAAAAAAATCAGTGCAATAAACTATCAACCTAACACCCAAGGAATCTGTTTGGACATCTGGAATTTCCATCCCACACTGTATATATAACAGACCGTAAACTACCTTGCTCACAAAATACAGTTAGTATCAGCTTAATTATGTAGGAGGAAATGCAAACTAGCAAATCCCACAATCGATCAAAATATTTATTAGTATAGCACCTAACCACACTAAAATATTTGAAGTGCACAAACTTCAAAACCTAAGGTTTCACAATACTAAACTTTCGCCCTGTTCATAATCTAACATATAATTTGAGTGCTTAAAATTTCTTATACAACACGTGATAAAATTAACACTGAACCTACATTTCTATCACAAGCACAATCTGAAAAAAAAAATGTGCACTATAATTTGAATCCAAAGTATGCGATAACATAATAAAATTTTGGAAAACCTAAAGCTAAAAGCTCCTTAAAATAATAAACTAAATAGAAACTGATTATACCTCAGGTAGCCATTTCTCATTCTCAGCATCAGCCATGACAATGTTAAGCCAATCAGCATTGCGATTCTCAACTTCTGTCACAAACCCGAGAAGGGAATTGCAAAGTCTACAATTAGGGGAATAAAACTCAAGAACTGTTGCCTCTTTCCCACTAGCCAATGCCATTGCAAAAGCTCTCTGCTCCGCTTCCGCTTGTTCTTCTGGGGTTAAACCCTTTCTCAAAGGTTGCTTCTTCTTCACTTCCAAACCACTATTGGGGCTTCTAACATCAACCTCATTGCTAATTTTATTGTTCTGCCAAAAACCAGCGAAATTGAATAGGGAATTTTTAAGTGGGGAATTGTTGTTTGAAGGGTTTTTTGAAATTGAACTGATGAAATTGAAAGAAAGGGTTCCTAGGGTTTGTAATGATTTGAAGACCCAAGGTGTATCGAAATCACAAGGACTATTTCTAGGGTTTTTCTGGTGTTGGCTAATGGCATTATTATCCCATGGCCATTTCAAACAAAAAATTGGGGGTGGTTTTCTATCATTCTCCATTTTTCTTCAAACAATTCAGCAATTTATACTTCCTGATACATTCACAAACTTATTGTTCAAACAATTTATCATATACAAGTAATTGATATTGATAAACCTAACAAAATCACAAATTTCCTAAATTGCTGAATTCTGAACCTACATTGAAATATTGAATAGTTTCTGATCCCAACATACAAAAATCGCAATAATATGAAATTATTACTAAATTCACGGTATAATATTTTAACATACTACAACAAAAATAACCCAAAATTCCAGAAGATAATTACATGTAATTAGATTAAAAGAAAGCAAATATCATCAAGATTGGGCCTTATTTTGTTAACAATCAAATACATGGAAAAAAATCTGAAGAGTATAAAAGAAATTATTGGATTTTAATTTCATGAAAAAGGGAATACCGCTGATAAAACTTAGAGTGAAATTGGCGCAAAATTGGAACTTGAATGAATTACTGCTACAGTTTCTTTCTCTGTATCCTCGAAATGAAACGCAATTCCAGAAAAACGAGTATATTTGTGGTAGTTGAGAATACTGTAGAATAGAGTTGTGTATTGTTATGTTGTTCTTGGAGTTCGGCCCAATGTAGTTCTTATGTTTTTAACCCAAGTTATAGAATAGATTTTTCGTAAGGCAATTTTAACCCAAACTTGATCTTATGTTTAGGCTTCGGTGTAGAAGCTAGCTAGAGAGTCCGTTAGGGTACACTTAGCTTCAAACTTAAACTATCGAGTTAATGAGTCGTAAATTCGTAATAGAGTAATTATCCTATTTACGAACCATGTGATTTTTCTTTTTGTTGAGCACAAAAAAATTTTATAAACATGAAAACCTCTCTTATTGTAAGTGTTGTGTCCAAGTAACATTTTATATATTGTTCTGTTATTTTTTTTATTGAGGTGGATTCGGTTAAGGTGGGTGATGGGATAGGGGAGATCAACATCTAACCACCTCACTCTGCCTCATTGACATCCGTTGTTCCGTACCATCACTTGTAGAGCATATCGACAATGAAGTACAGAACGAGCTGAAAATATATTTGGGATATAGTTTTGAGCGATCTAAACAATTAATTTTAATATATTTGAAAAGAAAACCAAATGGAAAATAAAAATCAAGAAGTTATAATATAAAGTGTTAATTCCCATAAATGAGGAATTACATACATATATTTGTAGTATAATTATTTAGTAAAGGCACATTACACTTTATAATTTTGTGCCTCTTTTCTGTCCCTCAAACACATTTCCGTGACCAACTGCCCAATTTTTCTTGTATGTTGACACATTTTAATAGATAAAATAAAATTATAAATTAAAAGGGAAAATAGCAAAGCTTGATGTTTTATTTCTTGATCAGCAAATCTCTAGCTCAGCTACCTGCAACAAAATTTTCATATCAAATTAGTTATTTTTACAAAAATAATCACTAAATTTTTTTAAAAGAATCATGTAATTGAAATTATAAAAGGTGAAAAGAACGTACTGCAATTAAGAACGGGGAGGTTGCAAGAAGCAGGCAGCTGACTAGCAACCCTAAGGGTGTTACAAAGGCAATCATGGTTCACACTTTGGAGGGCCCCACAACATTCAGCACTCGGGTTCGCGTTGGCTTGTCCGGGGACCACAAAGGGTGCACACGTATTCAGACCACCGAGTTGGGAGGCGCATGTGCTAGAAGGTGTAGACTGAGCCATTGAGCCCTTGAGCTGCACCACTAGTGCAAGTACTAAAATAACCAAAGCCATCTTTTGGAAAGATGATGTTGAGGACTTCATGCTAATAGATGCCATTTCTTCTAATTAATTTTTTGTTAATTTGATGATTTTGTATTTGATGTGAATTGAAGGGCCAAAAGTTTGATTTATATATTATGGAAATTGGAGGTTATTACGTACTTAGGATGTGATGTTTTGCATGATTTATCTAATTAATAGGTCATCAAATTTGCATTGGGTTAATTGATTCTTTTATCAGTGTAATTGTGTGAATCAAATGCAAAATGATCTCTAGGTGATAGTTTTTAGCCATTGTAGGTCCAAAACAATCGTGAAGCCACAACAAATGGAAGGCCACTTGCAAATTTTTTTTAGAAATTGTAGCAAAATTTTATTTACCACATTATTTAGTGCATAAGTGCACTAGACATTGTTTCGTATAACAAAAATATCAAGAATACAACATATTTAAGGACTAAGAATAAGAAATACGGAGTATATAAAAGGTAATAATATTCAAACCTAGGTTAATTATTGTCAAGTCCAATATGAAGTAGTTGGACAAGAAATTTCACAATTATTTGAGATATCTAACAATTACATAGTAATTTCTATTTTCAAAACTAATTTAAAGTGGTGACAGGTGACAATGTAATTTAATTTAAAGTACTCCTTAGTTAATAACTAAATGTCTATTAATTGATCCAACTCAATCTAAATGAGTAAATGGTACCTGTATTGGTTTATCAAATTATGACCCAACCGGTGGGCTTAATCTGAAATATATTAGCTTAGACTTGTGATTAATATCACTAAAAAGTTGAGTAATAATAAGCTAAGATACTTTAGTGATCAAGCTTAATTGCAATACTGTGTCAATTACTCCATATAAACAGATATGATATAAGACTTTGTGTTGTTATATACTATGGAGTATTTCACTTGTATCTATCTTTTCTCTCTTTTTTTTTTTTCTTTTTATGTTTTTGCTACATCAAGTACGTACCATTTTTTTTTTTTTTTGTGTCGAAAAAAAAGTACGTACTTGTAGTACATACGAGTAATTAAGAAGGGAATCAATACTACTCCGTATTGTTGGAATGCTAATTTAATTTGTCCTGTGGACACCAATGAAAGTAATATCCCTAAGTACAAGTTTTGTACCGTAAAAAGATATGCTACAAACTTATAATGACACAACCTAGGGGTAAAAGCTTGATCATATCAGTGCTCAATCAAGTGTACTTATATATATATATATATATATATATATATATATATATATATATATATATATATATATATATATATATATATATATGACCAAGTTATAATGAGAATCAAGGCTAAAATAAGAACTAGGAACTAATCTAGGCCCTTAAATCATGTTAATCGGACGGCTCACATGTTTCCCGTGTCATTAATGACATTTTCGTAATATTTGAATGTTACAAACTGATTCCCAGCTTCATTTCTAAAAAGTAAATGAAAAGTTAGTAAAAGTAAATGAAATCAGTTATAAAGTAAATGAAATTGCCTTAAAAGTTAAAAAACTGGAAAAAAGTTTGAAAATCCGCGAAATTACGAAAATGCCATTAATGAAAGCGGGTGAGATGTGAGCCGTCAGATGGAGCACGGTTGAAGGCTAAGATTGGTTCCTAGTTCCTATTATTCACCTTGGTTCTCACATGATCTCAATTCCATATATATATATATATATATATATATATATATATATATATATATATATACAAAACCAAGAAGAAAAATAAAAAAAAATACAAATAAAATAAAATAAAGGAAAATTTCACATTTGCTACCAGCAAAAGGACCCTTTTTCACATTTGCTATCCCTTTAATTTTTTATTTTATATTACTACCACCCAAACACACTAACTGTTATAATCACTACCACTTGACTTACACCGTTAGTATTTCCGTTACCATCACCCAACCACCGTCTAGCCACCACTCCTTCCCACCCACCAGCTGCCAATCCGCCGCAACCACCACTCACCGTCCAGCCCAGCCACCAAGCCACTGCCATAGTCGCCTGAGCCCAATCCCCTGCTGCCCGCGACTCCGACCACCCTGACTGTTGGCGCCAGCGTCGCATTCCCAGCCCCTCGAAAACCCGATCAGCCCCTTTCTCCCCTCGAAACCCACCTCAATCTCAGCCCCTCTCCCCTCGAAAACCTCCGTCGATCCCAGCCCCTCTCTCCCCTACCCCCGTCGATCCCAACCTCTCTCTTCCCTCGAATCAACCGTCGATCCCAGCCCCTCTCCCCTCGAAACCCCCGTCGATCCCAGCCCCTCTCCCCTGAAACCCGATCCAGCCCCTCCTCGTCCCCCGTTCCCTGTTCTGGCCGCGACGAAGGATTTCCCTGCCACCAAAAACCACCCTAAGCAAAACCCTAAAACTCGTTTAGGGTGGTTTCGGGCAGGGGGATTAGTGTTAGGATTGTCGGTTTTGGGTGGGGAAGGGGAGGGGGGAGGGTGGATGACGGGGAGGGCTAGGGTTTTTTGGGTGGTTTTTTCATTTTATATTTATTTATTTATTATTTTATTTTTTTTTAATTTTTTAATTTTTTTTTTAATAAACTTAACGGAAATCTAACGGATTCCGTTAAGTGGTAGTGATTATGAAAGTTAGTGTGTTTCGGTGGTGGTAAAATAAAATAAAATTTTAAAGGGGTAGCAAATGTGAAACATGGTGCTTTCCCTGGTAGTAAATGTGAAATTTTCCTAAAATAAAACAACCAGCAACCTATCAAGGAGGAACAAAGCGTGGAAAAGCCTTACCTACAAAGTTACTTATAGAGTTATCTAATAAGAAAAATAAATTATAGTTAATAAGCGCTAAACAAAACATATGCAATGTTTAAAATATTACATTAATACTAACAAAATAATGTATCACTGACTAGGTATAATACAATGAATACTTGTAGAATAACAAGAGCTAATCTTCCAAGACAATATCTTTGGAATCCTATTATCTTCCAACACACAATAATATATAACAGTAGAATTAATTACGGATACAATTGTGTTTGATCCTTCTACGGCAAAATCTCAATTTAAGGAAAGCCTTGGATGGCTTCCTTGATTTCATTTTAGAAGATTGGCTAGAAGACAAAGACGATAAGATGCAAATCAGAGCTGCCACCGCTATTTCTGTATCATTAAAATAAACAAGTATAAATTAAATAGAAATTTGGTAAAAGTAGTGACAATTATATTGACAAGGGTATGTAAGGAAAGATATATATACCAAATGTCATCGCAAAAGTTTTGTTAAGTCTGCTTAGATAATTCAAACATGGGTCATCCTCATATTCAAAATCCTGATCCTGAAGATGCAAAATTGACGATTATTAGCTTTGAGATCAAATAATCTGATTTCAGACCAAATATAAACTTTTACGTGTTTTCTCTTAGAGAATATATGTAAGATCTTTTTAATTGTGTGATAATCTTATGTATTATATTCCTAATAATTAGTCTAAGGACCTGTTCACATTTACTGAACACTGAACTGATTGGAGCTGAACTGAATTGAAATTAAGTAAATGTGAACAAGCCCTAAGAGCCTACATTTTCGATTTTTATCTACAATACTAAAGGAAATTACTCTTACCACCAAGACGCTCTCTCTCCGTTAAGAAAAGAAGGATCATTGCTATATATGACAACACCACGTATAATGTTAAGAACTTTGTTCGGCTTTGTCTACGACCTTCAAAACATGAATTAAATTATTCGCAATAAACCATTGGATATATAATATAGCATATATATGGAAACATGTCACATGATCAAGATTATAAATGTTTAAAATTAGAGATAAGCATACTAACCTAATTCTCCAACCCAAATAGCGAGAAAAGTGAGAATAGTGGGTAAAAATACATCAAAACCATAACCATATCGTATGAAATATTGGAAACTTGTGCATAGTTGAAAGGTTATCTGCAAGACCACATTGAGATTCATGTTAGGAAACAACCTAAATGAAATAGAGATAAATAACATTCTAGTAAAATAAAAACAAACAACTAGTGTTCACAATACTGTTATACGGAGGTATGTGACGATGTTTTTGAGTTAATAATATTAATTTAAATTTTTGGAGTAAAATTCAAGATTAAGAGGGATTAATATTAATACCTGCAAAATAAAATAGATTCCAAGTACATTCTTCATCCATGTCACTTTTTTTGGCAAGGATACCTTCTAATAAAACTAAAAAAAAAAAGTAAAAAAAAAAATCCACTAAAAGATTAAGAAAATATCATAAAAGTGATTGGTAGAAACTAGAAAGAGGGCATACCGGTCGATCTCTCTTCCTTAGAAGTTAGAACCCATCTCTTGAGAACTCATCTTTCAACTATGAATAACAGAAGAGATCGTATTCAAAGCTTTTCAATGTATAAAACTTCACCCTTTTTGAAATTGGAAGTCCCCTAATATACTAATCTCTTTAAAACTTCACCCTTGTGTTTGTACTTCTCCTCTTAAATCACAAAATTCTCCAGCTTAATTACCTCGAGTTTTTGGTGTATTTAATTCAAATCTCTCAACAATGGCAGATATTAACATCAAACCAAAATTAAGTATGAAAGAAACAATCAAAAATATAATCTCACCTCTCAAAATCTCTCCCTTTAACTTCCATGTTAATCATCGTTACATTAGTTTTACCACTTTCATTAACAATGTTACTTTACTCGTATTTTTTCACAACATTCCTTTCTTTCATCCTAAATTACAATAACCTCCCACACCAATGGCTACTCTCAATAACCTCGCTTGCATATTTCTCCCTCTGTTCAGCCCTCACCTTCCTCGCCGCAGCCACAACCAACACCTTGGTCACCACCTCTTATAAAACCTCTACTATCAAACAATCGTATAAACTGTTATTGAACCAATTTGACGCCGCGGGGAGTATGGAATATTATAATTTTCTTGGTACAGTGTCGAGATAATTTACAATTTTTTTTCTTGAATTTTAGTTGAATGTTACTATATACAGACCTTTAATTTACAGTCTGAAAATATTTTTGAATTATGTGGGATGATTATTCATCATCTTTGATCACAATCAATTATCTTCGTAAATTATATATTTTCCTATTTTTTCCAATCAATAAGTATAACATTTCAGTCAAATAAAAAATTCCTTGATTGCAATAACATTATTTTTCAAGTTACTAATTTCAATGATTTTCCAACTCACTCAATTTATTTCGTCAATCAAATAATCACTATAAAAAATCACTAATTACTCTTTTGTAATTAGGCTCCGTTCACTTTATATTCAGTTAAGGACGATATTATTACCAAATAATATATCTTCGACTAATTGATATTATTTTTTTGTATCCATGATTTATTATCTCGGGTATGCATATATTATTAAAGTAACTCCATATATCCATTCCAATTTTTATCCGTTCTTAGCTCTGTGAGCACTTCTATGCACTCCGTATTATACTATTATATAAACGCTGTACAGTAATTTATTTATTTAACTTTTTTTTGAATAATAAAATTACATTTCATCCTTTCATACTCTATCATCATTTCAATGTCTCTGTAACGAATAGATGCAATTAAACAATTTTGGTACGATAATAAAAGAGATAAGTGTTTATAAGGATCCCTCAAACCAAAATAATATCTATTAAGTTTCTACAAAATAAGACAATAAGATGATAATAAATCTCGTTTAGTATTTAGTAAGTTTAGTTTATTTCTAAACACCAAAAATCTATCATTAACATAATTATGATAAATATTACGTTTGGGATGCTAATTCGTTAGAAGTTAGAACATTACACGTTAGACTTAAAAAAGAGTTATAGTATATAGATTTATACCAGTATATACAATATACTTTTTTTTTATTATTTTTTTTTATTTTTTTTTACAATGGTAAGAAAAAAGTATCATTAGGAAACCCTCCTCACGAAGGGAATTCCTAATGCGAGTATATACAATATACTTGATATAAAAAAAAGCCAATCAATATACCGAGTATAATTTATTTTTTTTAATTATTTTTATAAAATATGTAGTTACTAGTACTCCATAACATTGTGTTTTACTAATTTCATGTAATCCATATGTGAAAAATATTGAAAGTTATTAAGGGATTATATTAGAATTAGAAATTCATTCACATATTCTTATCATTGAAGAGTTTGACCACATATAAACCCATTACATATGCTATTTCATCAACCAACCCAACCAAAAATAATCTTGATGTATGTTTGATATTACTATTATAAAATTCAGGGCACCAAAGTAAATTACTAAACTACATTGCACCATAGTGGAAAAAAAAAAAAAAAAAAAAAAAAAAAAAAAAAAATATTTGGGCTATGAGCGAGTATTGGACTGTTGTTGAGTTGGGTTAGGGACAGTCCAGTAAGTTTTAATTGCAAAAAGAAGCTTCTCCCTTTTAAGGGGCCCATCTTCATGGTTTACTATTTGACTATCCCATTCTAATGCATCTGTTATCTTCTTAATCTTCACTAATACATCCACGTCATCTCGGATTATCACACTTCCTTCTGGCCTTAAAATCCTGTCCATTTCCAGCAATAGATCTTCCATTTCACACCTGCAACACATAGGGACACTTACGATTTATAAAAAATTACAATATTTTTTTCGGATAATAATATACGTGACAATTAATTTACATAGGAAATAAAAGTTTAAATTTGTGGGCGATTGTAACTAGGGGTGAGCAAAATTGTTGGGTACCCAGTTTTGGACTCGAAATTGGTTAGGACCCGCCGGGTCCAGAATTGGAACTGGTGCAACCGGTTCTGGGTCCGGGTCCAAAAATCAGGAACCGGTTATAACTGGTTCCAGTTCCAGTTCTTGATTTTACGGACCCGGTACTGGTTGCATTGCTTTAAAAATATGTTATTCGTGGCCTGCTCTGAATATATGGGGCATAATTATCTATTGGGCCTTATAATTTCCTAGCCCACACTTTATTTCTAACCTAATTAGTCACCATATATTTAAGGAGTACTTTTTTTTTTAACTCATGTTTTTTTCATTTCATCACCCACCAAAAACCACTCATAATTTCTACTTTCATCCGTCAAACATCAAACTCCAATTTGATGATTATTTCACCCAACTTAAATTAATCACTCCATTCTTATCTTTTTCCCAAATTCTTGTATCTAAATCCACTTTTTTCCATCCTTAATTTTTATTTGTACAATAGAAAGAGGTAAAAGATGAAGGTGGTGAAGAAGAGGCCGAAAACAGATGAAGATTAAAGATAAATCAAGCTTACATACTCTATTATTCTGAGTTTTAGGGATGATTTGTGTAATTTCAGGCTAATAAATTTATGAAAAAGCCATGATTATGTAATACAACCCGAGTTTGCTACTGTACGTTCTCTAAATGCTCAGATCTACTTTTTTTCATCTTTATTTTCTGCAATTTTCATATAATACTTTTAGGTTTGATTTTTTTTTAAATAAATATAATTTCTGTTTATCGATCAAATCTGATTTTTTCTTTGAATATGTAACCGGGTACCCGGTTCTAGAACCGGTTACCACCAGTTCCAGTTCCAGTTCCAGTTCTAAATATTCTGGACCCGGTTATACCGGTTCCGGGTCTGGTTCCAAAATCTAGGACCCGGTACAAACCAGTTCCAAGACCAGTTCCTTCGTTTTTCACCGGGTACCCGGTTGTGCTCACCCCTAATTGTAACCAAATAACGTAACACTTTGTCAAATAAAAAGATTTGTAACATTTACGTACCTGTCTTTATAGAGTGTGAAGATTGAATCAGCGTGAATAAAATCATAAGTCCTTGGGTAAGTAGACATAGCTTCACACCTGCACAAAACATCACATTAGTCTCTTACAATAAGAAAACACAAAAAATTAGGGCAGTCCAATTAAATTACTTTGTGACATTATACTGTGTTATTTCCACATACCAGCTTTGATAAGTTCCAATCAACCCTCTTTCATAGATGACTCCAAGAGTATTAACCTTAGCTTCCACAGGAACTACATTCATCACCCAAACAGGATCATCAACCAAAGCCGCGGCAAAACCACCCAAGTACGCGTTCATGTCTAGTAGGTTCCGGTACCTCCCCTGCTGCCCTAGCTGATAATTCACTTTCTTATAGTGTAACATTCTTCTCTTCCATAATTTTATGTCTTCTTGGAACATTTCAGGGGTTACTCCATTAAGTGATCCACTGTTAATTCTTGGTGGGATTGCTGTCAATCTTGTAGGCCATTTTGCTAATTGTCCTCCTGCAACTTCTTCATTCACCGATACTTCTGGTAAAGGTGTTAGACAAGTTTGCAAATCTGTGTACCTAGAGATTTGTTGGATAATGTTGTTAAATCCAAATATCATAACAATATACTAGTTTATATTTCAAGAAATAAAATAGTATTAAATATATTAGCTATTTAGCTAATGCTTTAAAAAGTTGTACAAATATTTTTTAAATTGGATTAACTAAATTTTTGTACCTACCAACCACATGTTTGTGTCATACTTTTGTAGCATGGCATGACCTAATTCATCTACTTTTTTTGGACACAATCTTTGTCCATGTTTAATTAGTTCGAAAATTATACATCAATGTTCTTATGTTCACATTTACTATGTAATAAACCACGTAAACAAGTGGTGCGAATGTCAACTAATTAATTGGTTTAAGTATGGAAAATACGTACTCAAAGTTATGAAGAAAGAATTGATAAGGAAGGACTTACCATGCCAAATCCAGATCTTGAGTCGGGCATAAAGGTGGGTTTGGGTTATCAGTTTGTGTTCGTTTACAGTTGAAGTGGTTAATTGGTTTTTGCCAAATAGCAATATCATCCTTCTCTACAACTTTCTTCCAGCAAAGTTTTTTTGCCAAATTCTCTAATCTAGTTTGCTCTGCATTCAAGTCTTCCCTACTCCTTTCCCATGATTTCCAACTCCGTTTCCACCGGATTGGTGGACCGGATAGGATCCAATACCCGCCTGGCCGGAGTACTCTATCAACCTCTATCAAGTACACTCCATCTGCCAAGATTTCGTACCAATTAAAACAACATATATGTAAACAATGTAGCATAACATATTACAATAATACTCGAATTTATGATGGAAAAAAAAAAAAACAAGTACCATATTGGTCCCAAGGAATAAGGCAACGTGAACAATGAGCCATATCAAAAGCTCTAGATGGGTAAGGGAGTCTCTTAGAAGCCATGGCACCAATCAAAGCAGGGACACCGCGTTCTAGGGCGAATTGAACTTGTGCTTCATGGGTGTCTCTTGGTGCAAATGACATTGCTAATATGTTCCTTGATAGCAAGTATGATCCCCAACTAGCTACCTACTTATTGTAAGATTATCATGGCACAACAAAATTAAGTTAAATCACACATCATTAATCCTATATAAAATGTTATCAAAATTTTGTTCCAAACTTCGTTAAATAAAAGGTTCAAATATTCAATATTATATACTTCATATAAGGTTTTTTATTTTTCCCCCTTGAATGCATGACCTCATTTTTACTTATTTCACTTCTATTCATTACAATTGATATTATGAAATAATAGCACGGTCGATATAATTAGGTACGTACAAGTAAGAAGGTTTTTACCCTTTCATAACATAATTTTTACCCAAATCACTTTATAAACCAAATAAAATATGACAACTGTCTAAACTAATGCCTCAAGCAGTCAAGCATCTTACTTTACCTACCTTTATTTAAAGTGTAAAGACAATACTAAAGACAATTAAACAACTGAAATAATTAAGTTCTTAATCGAAAATTTAAGAAAGAAATGTTAAACAAAAAAGAAAAAGAAAAAGAAAAAAGGTCTTACCCCACAACCAGTATCAATGGCAGTTCTAATAGAGCCATCTTGAAGGTTGACCAACTTAGCAATATCATCAATATATGCATTTGCACCATTTCTAAACATGGTCCCACCTCCAGGGAACTTGAACCTGTCTCCTTCAAATCGGATCCAATTCTGACCCGCTTTCTTCACTGTTAACTCTTTATGTGGTACGTTATTGTACCAAGCATAGTCTCTACTAACGGGCCACGTAAACGGCCTCTTATACCCGAATGGCGCCGGTATCCGACACTTTAGGAGCTCCGTTTTTGCCGGGCAATGTCGCTCCAAATGTATTAACCGGGTTCTATTTAACTTTAATGATCGTCGTGGATCCTCACAAGGGGTGTATTCGATGCAGTTAGTGTTACACGAGGGGTAGGTTCGGGCTTGTAGTAAGCCCGAACCTATGGACATAGATGGATCATCCTCCGCCATGTGGTGGGCGGAGAAGTCCAACAATTTGGGGACCTGGATTGGGCTAGTGAGGTTGTTTGTAGTGCAGGTGGCAATTGTGGCAGGGGTGGAACGTTCACCCCTGCTGCGTTGCCACCTGCCTAGAAGATAGGAGGAGGAACATAAGATTGTAATGATGGTTAGTGCATAGATGTGATTGATTTTCCTCCAAAAAGGAAAAATCTTGTAAGTTGTGTCTAAACCCCTCATGAATTTATTTTTTTTCCTTTCACTTTCCTAAATTGTGAGAGAGTGTTTAAAAGGGAAGGTCAAGAACAGAGGAAATAATGTTGAAGTTGTGAAGTAGTTTAACTTTTGAAAAAGGTGGGTTTAAGGGTGAATTTATTGGTGAAGAGTAGACAGTAGTGATAGTTCGAGAGAAAATAAAAGATGTAGCTTTATTTGATTTGAATCTAGTTGAGAATATCGATGGGAGAGCAAAACTTGTAGCACTAAATGACTAGTACAGTAACATTTTACTAAACTACAAACTTTGAGATTCCTTCTTTCCAAAACATTATGCTAGTCTAGTAGTTTGTGTATGTCTGTTTGTTATCATGGTCTCAAAGTAGAACTACTCGTATTTTATTTGATCAGTAACATTATCAACTTGATGGTACACTTTCAACTAGCTTCGTGTCAATATGTTACGACTCTGATTAATGTTGACGTTAGAGTCACAAAGGTGGATGATGAGAATCGATCCCAAGATACTTTGAAATCGGAAGAAAAACTTTAAACACTTGAACTATCCCTCACTCTCTGATATTCTTATTTGTAAGGGTGTTTAAAATCCGATTCCAGTGAAAATATGGAGCAACTGCCTAACAAGATGAAAAGCCAAATGAATAAATAGAGTTTTGCAATTTGGCCCACATGAGTTGCTAACCTACCCCGCAGGCCCACCACACCAATGTTGTCCATGAATCTCTCAATACAGATACAGCAGTAGGCCAATATCTCCGTGACTTTCGATTATAATCAACCTGCTCAGTCATCACCAATTAATAATATTAATAGTCAAAGTTTTTTTATTTTTTATTTTTAAGAAGGAAGTCAAAATTTTGGACCTTAATTACTAGGGCAAAAGCAAAACTATAGCAAGAACTAACATAGAAGATTGCTGTGAATTTGTTTCTTCCCAACATGTTGTATCACGTTTGCCCCTTTGATTAATCTAGAAAACTATAGTAATATGTACATTACTTTCAATAATTCAAGATAACATCATGATGACAAATTGACAATATAATGTTACTAGGTAAAACTCGTACTCCGTATAAGAGAAAAGGACTAAGCCGACTGATCGACTATAGAGCATAAAGAACTAGAGTTAAATTTCTCTCTTTTTTTTTCATTTCACTTGTGTGGATTTACCCATTTTTAATACAGAATGAGTTTTAACTTGGAGTAAAAAAAAAAAAAAAAAAATAATTTAAAAACCTAAGAAGCAGAATTGGAATCCTGCTCATTAGTGTTAGAAGGAGCAGTCCAATAAGTTTTAACCGCAAACAAAATTTTCTCCCTTTCAAGAGGACCATCTTCATGGTCTACTATTTGACTATCCCATTGTAATGCATTTGTTATCTTCTGTATCTTCACCAAATTATCGACATCATCTCGAAAAATTACACTTCCTTCTGGCCTCAATATCCTGTCCATCTCTAACAATGTATCCTCCATCTCACATCTGCATTACATTGACCAAATTATTGTGATATATAACCATTGTGCGAGATATACATATAGAGTTGATCATAGGTCAAGCCATAAGTTGAGCTAAAAAGCCGCCAACTTTGGGCTCAAGAGTCAAAGGGGCCTTAAAAGCAAAGACCAAACTTTTACATAATTGGGCTTTTTGGATCAAGTTGGGCCAAAAATGATCAACTAACTCTATAGAATTGAAGAAACAGAATTTCAAGAAGATATACATACCTATCATTATAGAGTGTAAAAACAGAATTTGCATGGAGAAGATCATAAGTCCTTGGATAAGTAGACATTGCTTCACACCTACAAGAAAATATTGCACAATTTTTTTTACTTCACTTTACTTTCATCAAAGAAAAACTTCAATAAAACACAAAATGCGTTATTATTTTTGTTACTTACCAACTTTGGTAAGTACCAATTAACCCCCTTTCATAGATGACTCCAAGAGTATTAACCTTTGCTTCAACAGGCACAACATTCATCACCCAAACAGGATCATGCACCAAAGCCGCGGCAAATCCACCCAAATTCGCGTTCATGTCAAGAAGGTTTCGGTACCTTCCGTGTTCCCCTAGCTGGTTGTTCACTGTTTTATAGTAAGACACTCTCCTATTCCATAATTCCAAGTCTTCTTGGAACATTTTCGGAGTAATTCCCTTTATAGTACCGCTGCTAATTCTTGGTGGTACTGCTGTTAATCTTTTAGGCCATTTTTCTAGTTTTCCTCCTGCAACTTCTTCATCCCTTGAAACTTCTGGTAAAGGGATTTGACATGTCTCTAGCACAATGCTGAATGTTTCAAATAGTAACTAGTTGCACAACTTCATAAGTTTATTAAGATTTTTTGTTATTTGCATCTTATATAAATTAAAGTCCGCAATGATAAAGAAAAATGTAACAAGTATAAGCTGGACGTCAATTTCTTGTATAAGATGGTAAACACGTGAAATTTTTTTTATCTAAATGTGTAACAAATACGAAATAAGAGGGACTGAAAGACCAACCAAGCCTGATCAGGATCCGAAGCAGGGCAAAAATGTGGCATAGAATTAACTTTCTTATTATGTTTGCAATCTATGTGATTAATTGGCTTCTGCCAAATAGCAATATCACCCTTCTCTATCACTTTGTTCCAACATAGACTTTTGGCTAAACTTTCAATCCTAGTTTGTTCTGCATTCAAGTCTTCCTTGGTCCTCTCCCACCCCTTCCAATACTTCTTCCATCGAATAGGTGGGCCCGATAGGATCCAGTATCCTCCTGGTCGAAGTACCCTATCAACTTCTATCAAATATACTCCATCTGTTCCAAAATAATACAAAACAGGACAAATAGCATAATAAAATTAATGTGTGTGTTAATGGGTTATTTCAAATTATACTAGTATGATTATTTTGTATGCAATAGTAAATATGAGTATATTCGAGTGGATTAATTTTGTCAGTACCATATTGATCCCAAGGAATAAGGCAACGAGAGCAATGAGCCATGTCAAAAGCCCTAGAAGGATAAGGGAGTCTCTTAGAAGCAATAACACCAAGCAAAGCAGAAACACCGCGTTCTAGGGCAAATTGTACTTGAGCTTCATGAGTGTCCTTTGGTGCAAAGGACATTGCCAATATGTTCCTTGACAACAAGTACGCTCCCCAACTTGCTACCTATTAGTAAACAAATTTAATTAACTTTTTTTACATCAAATTTTCTATTGATCTCTAAATAATTGAAGCAACTAATGGTATAATAATACATTGGGCATGATACATTATTAAGAAAATAAGAATGCTATAGCATATTCATTATTACTATGAAATATCATGTATATGGTATGATACTATAGCTAAGATTTGTTCAACAAAAAAAAAATGACTATAGCTAAGATCCTGATCGTATGATATTATCAAATAATATTGATAGCATAGTTACATAAAATCAAATTTGTGTTTTTAATTGATTAGTTTCCCATTTTGCTTTTCAAATTCTATTAAAACAATCCGTCTCATACAAGTGAAATAATAATCATTCCATATTAATCTCATACAATATGTGAAGTAAATGGTACTCCTTATAGTACAGGAACAAACACAATATGCAACTTAGAGTCTTAGACCATGTTCCTAAGTGTTTATCGAAAGTTCTTCTCAATCAATATTCAATAATTATCCGTTTGATTTATTATAGAAACTTCATTCATTAGTTCAGTATAACTTATGTGAAGAGAACAAACCCGTAATAGCAAAAATTACCCGCGCGGACTTCACATCACACAATTATTACTCCTTGAGAAGAAAAAAAAATCAGTAGAAAATTCCCCAATTTTAGACTATTCTTCCAAGCAAACAAATCAGGACCATAAGACAAAAGATTCCACATGCACATCCTTCTCTATTCCACCTTATCTAATTTACGTAGTCCACTATTAACCAATCATCACATTAAACATTACCTTAGAAAATAAAAATAACTACAAAATTCCAAAAACCCAATTTAATCACCCACAAAAATACACAAGCATTCCAACAAATTTCATTAATACATTTTCTCAAACAAAAATAATAATTAATTTGTTATTAAAAAAAAAACAAAAATAAATTAAAATAACTTACCCCACAACCAGTATCAATAGCAGTCCTAATAGACCCATCATCAAGATTAATCAATTTAGCAATATCATCAATATATGCGTCTGCACCATTAGGAAACGTAGTCCCTCCTCCAGGGAATCTAAACCGGTCACCTTCGAACCGGATCCAATTTTGAACCGCTTTCTCGACCGTTAAATGTTTATGTGGTACGTTATTGTACCATACGTAATCCCTACTAACGGGCCACTTAAACGGGCTTTTATACCCTTTTGGGGCGGGTACCCGACATTTTAGGACCTCCCATTTATTGGGACAGTGTCTTTCTCTATATATCAGTCTGGTTTTTGTGAATTTTCTTGACCTTCTTTTATCCTCACACGGGGTGTATTCGCTGTACGTGATGTTGCACGGCGGATACACCCGTGATTGGGTCGGGCTAGAAGTGGATAGTTCGTGGTCCGCCGTGTGGTGGGCCACGAAGTCTAATGAGCCCGACCCGGTTAGGTTGTTGAAAGTGGTGATACAAGTTATAGCGGTGCCACGGCCCTGCCATATTGCTAGGAGGTAGGAAAAGGAGCATAGGAAAACAATGAAAATTAAAGTGAGTATGTTGTGTTTATTGGTGTTTTTTATTATTTTGTTCAAAAAGGAGGAAGAAGGTTTTGAAGTAGGGTGATATGGTGAGTCTAAACCTCCCTTTTTTTTTTTTATTTTTTTTTTTTAGGGTGTTTTGGATTTTGTTATGATAATTTTCTACTAGTGACTTAGTGAGAGTATTTATTGGTGAAGGGAGTGAGCTAGTGAAGAGGGGATGTTGGAAAATGAGATTATTTATCGATTTTATGTGGTTATATTTTATGGGAAATTCCTTCAAAAAAAATATGACTAAATATGTTCTAATATGGGGGAGATGGATGGTTTAGTTTAAATATATTATGGAGTAATTATTACTGTAATTAAGTTAAAATCTTGTATGTTTCAAAAAAAAAAAAAAAAAAAAAAAAAAGTAAAAATCTTGTAGGTTTATGGAAAATGGTGAAAGACTAAGGAATATTAATTTTTTGTGTGTGTTTCCAATTCGTGGGTGAGTTTTATTATGTGATGTTGATAGCTTTAATCAAGGGGTAAATAAAACATAAAGGTTGTATATACATATAACTAGTAAAATCCCACTCCACTCAATGAATGTTTAAAATTTAAAATAGTAGGAGGTCAGAAAAACATTCATCTTAATTTAGTGCAAAGATATTACTTATTGAGACAAATGAATTTTATTAACAAAAAATATAAAGTACATAAGATTGAAGATAAAGTTAATAAAGTATTAGCAAATTTGGTTTTCATGAAAATCTTGGGTGATTGGTCGGAGGTTGAAGGAACTCCGATTTTCTAAGCTTATGAAAAGAGTTTTAAATACGTAGTATAAGTAGTGAAAGTTGCATGATGATTGTTAATGGATTCCAAGTTTAATTATAAACATTAATATTTAGATAGAAAGAATAGTAAGTGGATTTTGACCATTTTGTGTCATAAGAATGCTTAGATAGAAAAGTTAATTTTACATTTAAAAAAAAAAGTTCGGGATTGTAACCTACCATGAGCGATAAAAATGAGCAATAATAGCATCCGTAAACAACAAAAAGTAAAGTAGAGAGTACGTAGTAACAAATAAAAGTCTAGTCGTCAAGTATTGTGATGATATCAAATTTCTCCACTCTCGAGACTCTCATGAAACCAATAAAACTGCATGTAATAATCACTGGGTCAAGTATTGATCTATAAGTACCTCAATATCATATATATGGCTTTTTCTAAAATAGTTGTGATTGCATTTAGTATTTGAAGAAGGGTTAGTAAGTAGTAATATAAGTACATACTCATGCTCATGCCAACGTTATTCTTTCAAAAAAAAAACATGTACTCTTGCCTACCGTGCATTATTGCTTGATGTGTGATTTGTCAATTGTATATATGTACATTATATTAATTGCATGCATGCATGACTTGAAATTACATATCAACCCATCACATGATACTATAGGAGTATAGGACCATGCATATATATGTAGGACTAGCTAGCCTTGGCAAAGTATAGTGGATCATAGGAACTAGGGGTGAGAATGGGACGGGTACCCGTACCGTTAGTATTAACGGTTCGGGTACTCGATAACCAATATCACTAAAAGTGATATCTATAACCCGAACCGATAAGTTCGGGTACCCGAATTTTCGGAACGGTTATCGGGTACCTTATAAAGTATCCAATAGTGATAATTAAACTTTAAAAAATTAGTTATTATGATATTTTTTAACACTAATTAACAACAATACCACATGATCTTGACCAAATTATTAATAACATTACTAATTATTGATACTTATAGTGATTATGAAGTAATGTAAGAGTTTAAATATTGAAAAGATAGATTTAAGTAGGAAAAAAAACAAAATAATTGCTTATCGGAACGGAACGGGTATCCGTTAATTTTAAAATGAAACCCAAAAACCATACCCGATAACAAATTATCGGAACGGGTACCCGAATTGTTATGGTTATCGGATCGGGTACCCTAATTTTCGGAACGGTAACGGAACGGGTTTTCGGGTTTTCGGGTTTTCGATTTTTCGGGTAGTTTTGCTCAGCCCTAATAGAAACCATAGAGTTGGAAAATGTTGAAAGGAGTAGTAAACAAACACCATCATTTATTCCAAACAATTAAGAGTTGATTTGACAATTACATTCTCATTCCTTAATTAATTTACGTTAAATTATATACACTCTTAATTCGATCTATTCTAATCTTTACGAAGTTATTTAAAAATCTGATCATCCCCCCTATACACAGACGATTGACGTAACTATATCTCATTATTGTTAGTGAATCACGTAAATCTGATCTGTATCTTTATTTTCTATTGGTTTCGCAAATCTTTCTTGCATCAGTTATAATAGAAGTATGTAAGTGTAACAATTATGATGTTAGAAGAAACTAGAAGCAAAGAACATAAAAACACCCTTATACAGAGTACTCCATACTAATAAGCTACAAAAAGAAATAAGTGGCTAAATTGAACTTGACATGACAATCCAACATAAAATGTAAACGTGCATGAAACAAAAGAAGTGGTTCCCGCATGTTTCTCCAAAGCCATGTAAAATTGAATTGATCGATCAACTTGTAAGTAATAAACATACATCACAAAACATAGTGATAGTGTTGAATTGAAATCTATAGCATGAATTATAATGATTATTAACCTAATTTATTACGGAGTAATTAAAATACAACATTGTTTGAATAAATATAGTTTGATTTATAGATATATATGGAGTATAACGGTACACCAATCATACTATTTCATTCCACAAAGTTTTTCATGCATGCATGCTTATTATGATTTTGCTTAATCCGATTAGTAGGAGTATTAATTTTCTAATATAATATTAAATATTTTTCTATTGATATTAGCGGCCGCGCGCAAATTATACAACACAAGATCTATAAAGAAAAAGGGGGAATTCATAGAGCTTTGGACCATGAGTAGTACTTAGGACTTAGGAGTATCTTTGTCTAGTTGTAGCTAGAATAATTAAAGCTCAAACTACTATCTCCGTTTCATATTATTTGCAACGGTTCATTTTATGTCAAATCGTTGTAAATAATATGAAACGGAGATGGATACTAAAATGAAACTATCACCTTAAACAATTTTATTTTCTTGTCAACTTCACTACTTTAGTAAGGTATAGCATCATGGTGCATAGATTTGTAAACGGTAAAAAACAAGGGCAAAAAAACAATGAACTTATATGGTTGGCAATCTTGGCATAAAGTTAGCTAAGATGATAAGGTTAACAAATGGGCTGAAATCAAGTTGCTGCTGATTATCAGGAATGACAATAGTTTATGGGCCCATTCCTATTATCAGAAAGTTTAATTTCCAAACTTACGTAAAGTAATTATGTAACCACTCCACTTTAGACCTCCTTGACTTTGACTTATTATCTCTTGCATAATTAACGATGATAATTACGATTTTATGCTGAAGAACGGAATGGATGTTCGTCATGTTGTTAAAAACCTTTATGAATTCAACTTAAGTCAAATACGAGTATAAACAACAACAATGATCAATGATGTACCAATAGAAACTACACTGAACTGAAAATAAGCTAAAGAGAACAGGCCCTAACAACCAACCTTTTTATACTCTCAAGTGTCCATTAGAGACCCGAATACACCAAAACACAATGCGAAATTTTCAAGGAAAGAGTATTTTAGTTTGTAAAGTTTAGGACAACTAAACATTTGAACAAATTTATACAAGCCAACTTCAAGCCTATTAGTAGTACATAAAAGTATTTGTAGCTATAATGTTTGCCCCCTGATTAATTTAATTATCCAAAGTTGGGCCATCATCCAAGCCCGTTTAAGAGGATAACTTGCATTGAAGGCTGAATCAAGCTGGACCAAACTTTATTGAGTAATTTGACAAAACTAGTCCTTTATAGTTTATAGTAACAAGACTGCAAGAGAGAGCAAAGTTCTTACAATTTAAACCTGATTACATTCATAGTAGGTTATTACATCTACAATCTCGTGGATGATTCTCAAAATTAATCTACAATTGAACACTTGAACCTTCAAAAAAGGGGTAAATACAATCTATGAACAAAAAGGAACTCATCGCTACAACTTCAAGCAGTCGCACTAAAAGGCAGGGGTTGGAGAAAGTTGTCAGGCTGATTCTACAAAGGTATTGTCACGAATTCACGATCATAACCACTCTTTTGGATTGATGCAAGCATCCAACAATTTCCACTCTTCACTGCCTTCTTCTGGCTTCTGTAAACACCAAGTGTGGCAAGAAATCGAACATTTAAGTGATTTTATGCAACTAATAATAATATTGCAACATGTCAGTTCTCAAATTGCTTTTTTACTCCCTTCGTCACAGCTCAAAGTTAACATTCCACGTAGCATTCTACCTCTCGTAATTCTTTCTCCAAACTCATTACTGTGCCCTAAAGCAATGTTAACTTTGAGCTGGGACTGAAAGAGGGGGATAACTCACAAGGCTTCATAGTAAGGATCACAGGGGGCTATGAAATGGCTTACATGGTCATATTCCCATCGAGCAGTCAGAGGAAGAGAGACCAGAATGCTCTCTATACGACCACCAGTTTTCAGACCGAATGTTGTTCCTCTATCATAGACCTATAAACCCATCAAATAATACAATAGTGAGCCCATTGCAAAGAAATTAGGAGTAAATTTCTAGCCTTCAAAGCTATTATCATACCAAATTGAACTCTACGTAACGTCCCCGTCGTAACTGCTGCCATTCCTTGTTTTTATCGGTGAAAGGTGTATCTTTCCTTTTCTCGATGATAGGTAGATATGCAGGTATCACAGAGTTTGCACATTCTGCAAAGTTGAGTAAAAACATCACAAAAGTTAAAATCATACCTGGAATGCTGGAAAGCAAGAATAAACTGTTACTCCGTATATAAAGATTACAAGAGGATTCACTGCTTATACGTACCAGTGGCAAAAGAAAGAAGCATCTCTTGATCATAGTCATTTAGATCGTCAAAAAAGATTCCACCTAGCCCTCTCCGTTCACCTCGGTGCTGTTGAAAAAACGCTAATGAATAAATTCTTACCATAAATAACTGTAACAACGCTTTCTAAATCACATATCAAGTACATACACTA